TAGAAGCAGGGAGCTACAAGAATTGTGGTATGTATCCAACTTACAGACAATCTCTCTGCTTACGTTAGTTAGGAAAGTCATGTAGGCTAGGGATCTGTATCTCTAGTTGTACAGAACCTGAGAAAAGTATGAGACACCTACATTCAAGCTGTGATTTCATAATGGATCGTATTGCATACTGTTGCTTTCTGTGGCGATTGTGTTCACTAGAGACAAAACACTTGGAGGGGGAAAAAGGGCTTTCGGTCTTTTCGATTCCTAACATTAAACATATGTTTTCAAATATGCAAGCTAAGCTCTATCTGGTCCAGCTAAACACAATTTTCATCATTTAATAAATTCTTTTCTAATCCTTTGTCCATTCTTTGTACTTCTTTACAGCCTGTAATATACCTGTGCTTCCTTATTTCCTGCTTCTTGCAAAAAAAAAAAAATTTATCTATGAAAGAAAAATAACTTTCCAATATCCTGTTTGATTAACAGGTACTGTTCATGAGAAAGAGGGTTGATTTAACTTCATTAAGTTCAACATTAATGGTACCAAGATTTCTAAAACTGGGGTGCTCCAATTCAGCTATGGACACTTGCTGTTAAAGGGGATGTGTCTCAAAAGGGTTACTGTTGAGTATAGGAGCCCTCTTGGATTCAAGGTTGGGGTTTGCATCCCTGGTCTGGGAATCCTGATTAGAGGAGCCATCTGTCAGCCCTTTGAGGTAGTCCAGGCAAGAAGTATGAAAATGAATACTAGCTGTATCTTTATTGTAAGGTCACATTAACAGAATCTTGCAAGTGTGAAAGTATTTCTCCCTCCTCTCCTTTTACTCTCCAGAAAACTAGGGAGGGTTCCTTCTGAAAGGCTTCCCATGCCTCCCCCTCTCCTTGTGGGGACTGAGATATCTTTGACATGATGGTTTTCCAGTCAGTGGCTCTTCCCTGTCTCCCAAGGTCATTCCACATACCATTATACCATCCCAACACATGTTCTCTAGATGTCTTTTCTCAGTGACTGTTTGTAAAGTAGAGAAACAGAGGTAAGACTTTAAAATAAGGTTTGCTATATGGTTAATGAGAATGAATAGTTTGAATAATGTCAGCTGAAATGGAAAAAGTGCCTCAGTTAATTCTTGCCAATTAATTTTTAATTAATTTCCAGAAAAGACTGCACAGACATGTTCTTAATTTCTGCGATTTCCTGCAGATATTCCTAGATATCTTCTCGCCCCTCGCAGCTCCCCGGACGAAATCCTCTCACCTGCCTCTCCCGCAGCTCCTCCTCGCCGGCGGCTTGGCTCAGCAGGAAGCCCTCGGCAAGGGCCACCGCCTGCGAGCAGGTCTCCGCCCCGCATTCCCCGACCCAGCGCTCCACCTCGGCGGGCAGCAGGGCCAGGAACTGCTCCAGCCCCAGCAGGTCCAGCATCTCCGCCTTGCTGCTCCGCTCCGGCCGCAGCCACCGACGCCACAGCCGGTGCAGCTGGCTGCACGCCTCCCGGGGCCCGCGGGCCTCCTGGTAGCAGAAGCCGCGGAAGCGCCGGCGCTGCGCGTCCGGGCCGAGCCTCCCCTCGGGGAGGGCTTTCGGGCTGCCCCT